TATCTCCCGAGGGGTCCAGACTGCGAGAGGGCACAGGCTGGGCTGGGGGACCCCCCTGCCCCCCCCCCCCAGTGCACAAATTTTTGTGCACCGGGCCTCTAGTAGTTCTATAAAACTAGAGGCCCGGTGCACAAATTCGTGCATGGGTGGGGTCCAGACGCCCCATCCTGATGGGGGCCCATCGGGCCAGGCCGGTGGGGGAAAGGGGCTGTGGCTGGCCGGGGGAAGGGCTGCAGGCAGTTGGCCGGCCATCCCCACCCTTGATTGGGGTGTTGGGGGCTGATGGGGGTGGGGGCTGATGGGGGTGGGGCCAGCCGGGGGGAGGAGAATGGGGGTTGATTGGGGCCCGGATCAGGCTGGTTGGCTGCCGCAGTGCATGTCATAGCCAACTGGTCATTCTAGTTGTTCCGCCATTCCGGTCGCTGGGCTTTTATATATATAGAAGATAGAGAACATACCAGCCATCCATCAAATCAAAATAATTACGGCACTTAGCTACAGTTCCTTAAAACATGGCATGATATAGGGCAGGGGATCAGTGAATGAGAAACAAAACTACCCTCAACTTTCAAATTTTCATGTATTCTGTCACATATTCCAACTCATGTACTTGGTTTTTAAAAGACAAAAAGAATATGATCGCCCTAACTGGTTTGGCTCAGTGGATGGAGTGTCGGCCTGCGGACTGAAGGGTCCCGGGTTCGATTCCGGTCAAGGGCATGTACCTGGGTTGCGGGCACATCTCCAGTGGGGGGTGTGCAGGAGGCAGCTGATCGATGTTTCTCTCTCATCAATGTTTCTAACTCTCTACCCCTCCCTTCCTTTCTGTAAAAAATCAATAAAATATATTTTTAAAAAAAGAATATGATCTACTCATATTAAATGGCAGTTTAGGTGAAATCAGGATCTAAAGGGAAGAAAGAGTATAAAAAAGAGAGCACCTAGGAAGACCAAGGGATGGACCTTAGACTCAGCTGCAGCTGTGTAAGACACCTTGATTCCTTGTGCTCTCTACCTATTGGTTTCTATGAAATCAAATGAGATTTCTTAAATTCTCTTGACTTTATGCTGATTTTCCTGCTCTTAAAAGGACAACTGAATAAGCAGTATTTTAAAGTTGGGATACAGGCTCCAGTTGTTAAACTCTGAAATTTCAGACTTTATAGACTCACTAGTGGCCCAGTGCACAGATTTGTGCACATTGAAACGAAATTAATCAGAAGGCGGCTGGTGGGATGGGACTTGGCAAGACGGGCTGGAAATGTCCTGGAGCCAACTCCCACGGTCCCTCCCTGGCTGGCCACACCTGTGGCTGGGCCTCGGCTCAAAGGGCATCTGTAGAATGAGCGGGGTCCCTCTGGCAGCTGGGGCCCCTTGGCCTGGCCTGTGGGGATTGGGCTGACATCCCCCAAGGGGTCCCGGAGTGTGAGAGGGCACTCTGCCAAGTTGCTACCGCTCAGCAGCTCCTGCGTTGAGCGTCTGCCCCCTGGTGATCAGTGCACGTCATACCTACCAGCCGATCAGACAGTCGGTCGGTTGGATGGACGGTCGCTTAGCCTTTTATATATATAGATAAATCTATTCACACTCTTCCAACAATGCTCAGAATTAGGATATAAACAATTAATTCATCCATCTGTGTTAATTCATTGTTGCATATATAATTCACAAGAAAGCATTAGAAACAATATTACTTAGAAAAACTATTGACATAAAAAGCATGCACAGTACCTTTTGATAAACAATGGAGCACACAAGATCCTTGACGGCAGATAAAGATAGTTCCTGAGCTTCGATGGTAACACTCTCCCGTGTAAGGCCAATTTGCAGTAGAAATGAAATTGTATGCACTGAGCCTCTGGAGTTGGTGAGTGACGGTGCACTGAAGCTTCCATTAGAGAGCCGGGCAGAAAGTCCTGTCTTTGGACTTGAACATGAAGAAGGAGTTGGAAGCACAGCAGGAAGAGTTGCAGGTAACACAGACTTCTGGGCTGATGGAGGGGAATTGTTTGCAGACATCTGCCTTTCTTTAATCTTTTAAAATAGTTGTCAATTCTTTTTCAATGGTTATGAAGAAGCTTTTAAAATCTCAGCAGGAAAAAAAATGTCTGTACTTTTAGATTTAGTTGAAAACTTCTTTATTTCCTCTTTTAAGCTACTCATAGTGATGGCTGCAAGTTCTACAACTGTGAGTTAAATGCACAGAAGGTCGCTACTTCCCTTAATATCCTCATCAGAAAAGAGTTGACTGCTTACTTTCTAAACATCTTCATTTATTTTCCTTTAAGTTTACTCTTGTCTCTCTAAATTTCAGAAAATACATTCTGAATAAAACTTATTTTTCTGTCAAGATAAAAACTTCCCCGTTTATACAAAGGTGTTTCAGATTGATTAATTCAGTACTTATCCTTTGGTTCACTGATTTGATGGGATACTTTCTCAAATGTTCACTCCTTAAATCACCTTCTCAAATGACCTCATTTTCATTTTTAGGGGGGGTAAATATTTCCATTATGAAGTACAAAGCTTTTTAAAATAGTTCAGGTATATTTCATTTGATGAATGGGTCCATCGAGTAAAGTTGATTCTTTCTGAGATGTAGTCAGCCTGAAAGGAATTTTTAAAAAACTTTTAATATTTTATACTCATTTGACATTTTAAAAATGCAAGAATACCTATAATTTTTCAAATGAGAATTTTTGATTGTATGTTTATAATTCACCAATAACTCCTAATGGGTGGCCATTTTTTTTCTAGTTATCAGAGCCATTTTTTTCACTTCAGGGAAAGCCTCCTGCTTCAAATAATAATAATAATAATAATAATAACCCAGCACTCTTAATGAAATCCTGAAGTTTGAAATCAAACACTTTTATTCCACAAATACACAACTGAGTTATGACAGAGGGAACAGAGAACAGCAGAAGGGACAAAAAAGAAAAGTAAAAGTCATATTGTCATAGAAATAAAATAATAAAATATGTTCTACTCAGCCATATAAAAGATATATAATTGTCCTGACACAGACAAATTGAGAGTATTCTTTCTTATATTAAAGTCTAATTCTGGCTCTAGCTGGGTTGGCTCAGTGGATAGAGCATTTGCCTGCAGGCTGAAGGGTCCTGGGTTCGATTCTGGTCAAGGGCATGAACCTAGGTTGCAAGCTTGATCCCTAGCCCTGGTCAGGGTATGTGTGGGAGGCAACCAATCCATGTGTCTCTCTCACATCAATGTTTCTCTCTCTCTGTCTCTCCCCCTCCCTTCCACTCTCTCTAAAAAGCAATGGAAAAATATCCTCGGGTATGGATTAACAACAACAAAAGGCTAATTCTGACAAAATATAATTGTTGAGTTGCTTTGTTGACAGATTTCTTTCAGAAGTCTAAAAAAGCTGGTGGAGATATACTATACAAGTTATATGGCCAACAAGTAATGTGAAAAACATACTTATGATGGGGAATTCATCAGAAAGTGATCTCATCATAAAAGACTTCTAAAAGTAAAGAAGAGAACAACCAGGCACCATTTCATATGTATCACACTTTTTTAAGAGGACAGTTCAAAACATAAAAAGAAGGTATAACCCCACACCAAACCAATGGCTAAGTGAAATGGCTCACAAGAGATGGATCTTTCTAAATTCCATTTAAATACCTGTAAACAATTCCAATAATAAAAAAGAGGGAAGTATCCAGTGGGTTTGCTGAATGACTCTCTGGAGAGAAGTTAATGGGGCTAAAAAAAAAAATAGGATGAACATAACAGAACAGCAAAACCATACAGATATAGTACCAGGAATGAGAAAACTAAAAAACACACACACTAAGGCTTGGGGAAAAAATGCCTAAAGATAACAAAAGGTTTTATAGCTACATTCAAATAAATGATTATTATCCCACCTTATACTGTACAGCACTTAATCCTACAAGTATTTCACATACTTTATCTCACAATATCTCTTTGGAATTTGTTAGGGCAAACATAATTTCTGCAGGTGAGAAAACTGAAGCACAAGCAGATAAAGCAATATGCCCACCATGGCTATTAAGAGGTGGGGGCGGGGGGGGGGGGGGGGGGTGGGCGGAATTCGGACCCAAGTTTGGTAAAATATACTATTTCTCAAAGAGAACACGGAACTGAGAGAATCTCTGTTCAGAGAGGATGTTGTTCAGGTTGAGAGAGTACGTAGAGAAGGCAGAATTGCTCAACTTGTATTTTGTTTATCTTCTCTCAGTTTTCCAACTACGGTTGCAGAAGAACATTGAGAACTGAAACCTGAGCCTGGTGAATAATAGACTAAAACAACTTAATGTGAGTGTAAATCTTCAGGTCCAGATGCAATCCATTCCATACTGCTAAAGCAATAAACAAGTGTAATCACAAAGCTGCTATAATCTTGGAGAAAGAGCTCAGAAAGAGAGAACTAATCATGGCCTGGAGATGGGTCAGAGTTGCATCAAGTCTTGTGGGCTGGCAGGAGTGGGAAGCAGATTTCAGAAATTACAGACAAATAAATTTAATATTAAGCCTTAGTCAAAGCTGAGAATAGGTTATATATGAAATGGTTTTTGAATACCTAAGAATGGTTTTGAATATAATGATCACTGGATATCAGCATGAATTCAAACAGAACAAATAATGTCAAATCAACTGCATTTAGATCTTGGAAAAGAATGATTTCTAGATTTCTAATAATAGCTCACAGTTATTGAGCTCTATCTGTCAGACACTTTTCTAAGCACTTTATATGTATTACCTCATATAATCCTTCCAACAACCCATTTTATTTTATTTATTTTTAAAATATATTTTATTGATTTTTTACAGAGAGGAAGGGAGAGGGACAGAGAGTCAGAAACATCCATCAGCTGCCTCCTGTACACCCCCCACTGGGGATGTGCACACAACCACGGTACATGCCCTTGACAGGAATCGAACCTGGGACCTTTGAATTCGCAGGCCGACACTCTATCCACTGAGCCAAACCGGTTAGGGCCCAACAACCCATTTTATGGTTGAGAAAACAGAGGCTTAGAGATTAGAGTCCTCACCCAAGATTACACAACTGGCAAAACCAGAAGAAGAAAAAAATAGTGTATTCTGGCCAAAACAGTACTCAAGATGGTTTTCCAAGTGACTTTTGTATATATTTTGCCTGAGTGTGACTTGGATAAGCTTGCTGCTCTATCAACTTAGATGAGAGAAGTCTTTAGGAAGGGCCTTGGAAATCTTTCCTCGGTCCTATATTTGGAATCTGACGGGGCAAACATCATTTCTGCAGGTGAGAAAACTGAAGCACAAGCAGATAAAGCAACTTGCCCACCATGGCTATTAAGAGATGGGGAGGGCATTTGGACCCAAGTTTCGTAAAACATACTATTTCTCAAAGAGAACAAGGAACATGCTTCCAAAACTCTAAGATTCTACAATCTGGGAAAAATAAAGTAAAATTAAAGTGAAATGTAACAAGGATGTGTGTAAAGCTTTGCATTTAGTTTCAAAAAGTTAAATGTGCAGTATAGAAATGAAGAAATGCTTCTTAGAAACTGTTCATAAGAGGAGTTATAAACCCAAGAGTCTAACAGGGGCTGCTAATATAATGGGTGACTAAAAGAACTGCAAACTTAAACCCCCAGGACACTGAGAATATATCTGCATCAATCTGTATACTGGTTGCCTACTTTACTAGTGTATTCATTTCTACAGTCCACATTTTTAGAGCTGTATTGATTTTTTAAAATAAGATAATGGTGAAAACAATGTCATGTGACAAAATATGCTTAACAAAACCAAACAGAATAATGGTCTTCAAATATTTGAAAAGGTGTTAAGAAAATAATAGGTTTTATTCAGCATCACTGCAGAGGGTAGAAGTAAAATGAAAATAACAGCACTACTTATTTACCTCACAGGTTGTTGTAAAAACTGAGCTAAGTACCTACAGTATTTAGATGAAGGAATTAACTAAGCTCCTACTTTATGCTAAATAATGCAATTGAGATACGATATTTTATTAAACCTTTGCAACAACTCTGGGAGATTTATTTAATTCTAGAAAAGGAATTAGAGCTTGAGTAGTTGCTTGTCCAATACTACCCAGCTAATAAGTGATGGGACTGGGTTTCAAACAAAAGTTTCCCTGACCCCAAAACCCTTGTTCCTTCTACTATTTCATCCCACCTCCAACACCACAAAAATGGAACAGGTTTTCTCATGAGGCAATGAGCTCCTTAAATATACCTGACACGAGTGTGAATTTTAAAAAGCTGACCTGTCATTAAAAAAAGTAGCAGAAATATCTATGAATAATGTGCAGGTTAAATATTACAAATACAAGATATTGCTATGTTCAATAATTTAATTTTAATAGATGTCTTCCACTAAATTTTCATTTTATTACACCCGTTAAAACTAGCCAAATAAAAGTAACTGTCTAGTAATACAATTTACTAATTTATCAGAATTATTGAAAACTATTAATAAACTACATAAATGTTACACTTATAAACAAAAAAATATTTTTAAAACTTTCAGCATGAACACAAATAGAAGAAATTAAGTGAGCTGTCATATTAGCTTCTGCCCACTCATCCCATCTGTTTTTCCTCTCCCTGTTTTGTTTTATGGAACTCTGATTTGCTTTGTAAGATGCAACAAGATGTAGGGTACAAAATATTAAAACTAAATATACGAGAAATCTAAAAGCTCTAATTTATTTTGCCTTTATGCTTCAATGAGAAAACTGAGACAATAGTACACATAAATTTTACATCAATTAGGTATATTGGTTTCTAACGTCTATGAATTGGCAAGCATTTCTAATACGCTTATTTGAGACATCTGGAATATGCTTTTGGGGAGCTTTCTGTCACATATCCCATTCAAATAAGGTCATATAATCTGTCACCTTTGTTGAAGGGAATACAAAGATAAGATATCTTGAGCTCAATCTACCCTATTATTAGAGACAAGTAAAACAAAGGCCCTGGAGTATAGGAGGTTTTAACTGAGGGTTACTTCGTGGTAACATTACAAGTTGATCTACCTTTCTCTCCCTCTTCCTCACCTCCCACCTATCTCTTAGCAATGCATCTAATTAGAAGAAGCTCTAACAGCAGCATTTTCACTCAACAAATATTTACTGAGTGCCCATTATTTGCCAGACCGTTATGAGACACTGAGGTGACCAAAGCAGACATGACTACTGCTCTTTTTGAAGGTTACAGTATGATGTGGGCCATATACATTACACAAACATTCACATGAATAGCAAGGTAACTACAAATTATAACAAGTGATACGACAGAGTATAATACTAAGAGGACCTAATTTCAACTGGGGTCTCAGGCAAGGTGTGCCTTTAAGGAAGTGGTATTAAAGTTGAGATCTAAGGAGAAGTAGGCGTCAGGGAAGCAGAGTGAAGCAAAGAGGATTCCAGGAAGACAAAACAAATACTTCAAAAGGAAGTTCATTATTTAGTTTAGCCAGTGTTCTTTTTGTACTCAGTAAAGGCTAAAGTGAAAAGGTAAAATGTTTTTTTTTCTATTCAGAATAGCATAATATTTACCATGACTTTCTACGAGTAATGGGTTTTCCTGATTCAATTT